CTCCCTCCTTGCACTATCAAGAAGCTGGATGATCTTGTGAACCTTAAGTGCAAAATTATTTCTGAACGTGAAAGACTGGAATTTTATAAATCCTGTATTTCTAATCACACCTACCCAAGACAGTTCTATAAAATTTTGAAATCAAGTAAACTGCAACCAAATAATTCCAACCTTATTCGCCTTGCCAAATCGCATATTGAAAAAGCAGAAGAAAAGCTGCAACAATTATTGCTGATCCATACATCTGCTTCATCCGTTTTGTCGGAATTATCTTTAATATGTCACATGAAATTCATTGCCTTCTGTGCATCTCTCGCTGGTAAAACAAAAGCAAATATGCGTAAGAAGCTAGACAAATCACTCAATGACAATAAACTTGTAACTGCTTTCCCTGTCAATCCAGAGAAATACGTTGTCAACCTATCTTCCATAACTCTTTCATCGTTACAAGAACAAGCCTTATCACTTGGATTTAAATTTTGCGTTCCTCAAAAGTATTTCTCAGAACTTGAAGTACACGCACAATTTGAAAATCTATATGACCAGCTGAAGCCTCTTACTCCTGTTTCTGAAGATCATCACAGTTGGTTCAAAGCAAAGTTAGTGGACATTGCTCACCAATTTTGCAACGGTCGTACATTTCAGAAAAGCATCCTAACACCTGAGCATTTTAAAGCGTTAAAAGAACTCAAACATAATACTGACATCGTTATCCTCAGACCAGACAAAGGGTCAGGTGTAGTTATAATGGACAAAATTGAATATAAAAGTAAAATGTTATGCATTCTTGGAAACAACGAAAAATTTATGAAAGACTCCGGTCCTGAGGATGTTAAGAATGTACAAAATATGGTGATAAATAATCTAGTAAAACTTTTAAACATGAATGCAATTAACAGAGAGAAATTCAATTCATTAAAGCCCACAGAGTCTCAATTACCACACATGTATGGTCTACCCAAAACACACAAACCTAACATTCCTCTACGTCCCATAATGTCAATGTGCAGATCTCCAACCCACAAACTTGCACAGTGGCTAGTGGAAATACTAGAGCCTGTTAGAAGAAGTTTCTGTAAGTTCTCTTTGAAAGACACTTTTGAGTTAATTGATTGTCTTGATAACGTTAATATAAAAGACAAAACCATGTTCTCCCTAGATGTCGAATCTTTATTTACAAATGTACCTCTTTTACAGACGGTTGACATTTTATGTGACTTCATTTCTGACAACGATTTCTTATTACCAGTATCTACATCTTACTTAAAAGAGTTACTGCTTCTCTGTACTAAAAATGTTAAGTTTACATTCGAGGGCGAGCATTATCGCCAGATCGATGGTGTTGCTATGGGAAGCCCCCTAGGTCCATTGTTAGCTGACATATATATGTCGCATGTTGAGAACCTAGTGGAGAAAGAAATTGGAAAAGTGTATTTCTATAAAAGATATGTAGATGACATAATTGTCATTTGTGATCAACCGATCGACGCCATAGAAATCCTAAACCAGGTCAACAGAGCACAAAATAGTATATCGCTAACTTATGTTAAAGAGAATAATGGATGCCTGCCATTTTTAGATGTACTCATAACCCGCAGAGAAGATGGGTCAATAAAACGATCTGTCTACAGGAAGTCAACATGGACTGGACAGTATCTAAATTACTATAGTTTCTGTCCACTACAGTATAAAAAGGCGTTGGTTAAGTGTTTGTTCAAGCGCGTTCACCGTATATGTACCGCCGATACAATTGAAGAAGAAAGACAACATCTCACTGAAATATTGTTAGATAACAATTACCCACTGAGATTTATTAGACGTTATGGAAGTGTCAACCACACAGCTTTACCAATCCAATCAGTTCCCAAAAAGGATGTTTACATATCCTTGCCGTTCAGAGGTGATCAACAAAGTCTAGTCACTAGACAAAGACTAAAGGCCGCAATTAGTAGAACCTATTATGCAGCTAAACTTATCTTCATAGAGAAAACGAAAACTATGCTGTCCTGTAAACCCTCACATTATCCGAACGATAGTGTCACATCCCACTGTGTTTATCAATTCACATGTATGTGTGGAGACACGTACATAGGGAGGACCCATCGGTCTCTGCATGTTAGGGCTACAGAACACATTCCAAAGTGGCTGCAACAACAAATGAAATCGCCAGATACAATTGACCCGGGAAATAGATGTCCAACATCATCTATAGCGAAGCATATTATAGAGACGGGTCATAAGGTTGATTTTAATAATGCCTTTAAGCCGATATATAAGACAAGGTTGGGTCACATACTTAAATTCATTGAAGCCTTAGCCATTAAAAGACTTAAACCTGTCTTATGCGTCCAAAAGTTATTTGTTATCACCTTAAACCTGCCTTGGTAATCCAACTTAGAACCAAGGACCCATTTACTTCATAATATTTTCAAACCCTTTCTTTGCCTTTTTTCCTCCCTTTATCTTTCTTACCCACACCTTTTGCGTCTCCCTACCCATTATTTTGTGACCTTGACCTGTACACAATCTGACCTGTATTGTAATTATTCATGCTTTCTTGCCTTATATAAAAACTGTGTATGACAAGTACGTGTGTGATCAGAATGTCCGAAATGTGTTGCGCCAATACATTATACGTTTCAGATAAACTACGTCTTCTTATTGTTTTGTCGAAATTCAAGTTAGTGGCTTGAAGTTTCTGTAGTAGTGTTTATTTTACAGGATGGGGTTGCTAGCCTCATGCCACCCAACCTTTCCTCTTCGCCAGCACTATTTCTGGCTTGACGAGGTGAAGGAGTGCGTCGATGGCTGGGGATCGAACCCCGGATCATGTGTATGGTCGGCGAGCGTGCTAACCGCTATGCCATCGACGCTATTTATTGAAATAAATCATCAGTTGTGCAACAAAACAGTTAGAACTCAGTTAATTAGGACAGCATTTTTCTATGTTGGGCCGTGAGTCACACACTTTTGCTGTATCACAGCTAATCACACTAACCACTTGTCTATCCTGAAGTAGGGTAGAGAAGGCTTTCAAATCTGAAATGAAACACAGGATTTCAGTTTAGAGCTTTGAATTTTCAGTAGCAGTAGGGACTTCTTACGGGAAGCGGTTGTTAGCCTCACTCTTAAGCTTTCCTCGTTTATTAAGTTCACTACCAGCTAAGTGAGGTAAAGGATTACTTCACTTGGGTAATATAGACTAATATTCTGTAAAATATCAATATTCTTATTGATGTAAATGATTTCGACACCGCACTGTCCAAATGGATCCTATTTAATACAATTCTAAATAGCCTTGACTTCTTAGGACTTCTGTTTTTGCCATCAATAATGACTTAAGTTGAAATAAAAAATCTCATCTGTGGTGGAATTCAAACCAACAGTGTGAATATTAATAACCTGATGCTCTATCTCTCTTTCTCTCTGGCAGCTGATGTACAAGAACCACCTTATATCCAGGTGATTATACGACTAATGTTCACTTCCACTCAAAGGCGCCGTCTCTGTCAACTGTCTAACAATAAACCCTAAAAATGCAAACAGTTTCAAGAACTCATTTGCCAACCTCCTGATGAACTGACATACCAGAATTATAATCTGACCACTATTCAGTTAACTTGTAGAATGTATAAGGTGATATTTCGTCAGATAAGACCATTTTTTAGAAGAAAGAATTAGTAATCAATTGACCTAATTTATTTTGTTTTTATGTGAAAAAACCACCGTGAGTTAGTGGTAGTATTAGTAGTAGTAGCGGTTATTTGAGCATTTAAAGGGATATTCATCGGTGACTTTTGGCATTGCTGACGGAATTAGGCTTGAGACACAAACAAAAGGTTTTATATGCTCTTTTCTTGAATAATTAATTATTTATTAATCCTCTATTATTATTATTATTATTATCATTACTATTATTCAGAACGCACATTTCGTCCTATTTGGGACTCATCAACTAACTGGGTGTACCTGCATTCCCGGAGAGTGGGATGTTATCCCCACCGAGGCTCAAACCCACTGCCCATAGTTTTAAACATCAACGAGGTATCCACTAATCCACTTAGGCAACTGCCTCTTGTGCAACGGGTCTTGCTATTAATTACTTAGTGTCAGGTTGAAATGCGCTATATCCTAGATTCCACTGCTAGTCACTCACCCATCAAATTACTTCAGGTTAAATGCTGAGACATCGTCGAAGCATCTGCACAAGTAGCCGACATGTCAACCTGAGACCAAGCACTTCACTGTAATCAATCGATGGGAAAATCTAAAATTGAATTAAATTCTATGTCAAGTTTGTAATTCGATTGGGTAGGTTCGCCTATGTACAAACAATAAATAACTGATAGCATTCAGTCTACACCAATCAGAGGACTAGACGCATCACACTAGTTACTAGTGTCAAATCAAAATATCCACTACAGTCCTACAGGAGGTCAATTACGGGCCCAAATAGCTCAGTGGTAACGTCTCTGATTGCAGCACTGGGTGAGGCGGGTTCGAATCTCAGAAGAGATATGAGTTCCTTCAAGGATGCATATACGCCTTGCTAACTGGTAAGTGCCAACTAGCATGAAACCTAAATTGAGTAAGGTTTCCTGTGGCCGATTGCCTCCAACCATCTAATGAATAACTCTGTTTGGGCACCTCGGATGTATTTAAAAAGGGTTCTCCTTTAATGAAAAAACACAACCAGTTGTTAGGCTGACAGTCTCTTATCCAATTTTCGCTATTGAGCAATAGCCATTTAACTCCGTCTTAATGCCTGAATGAACGGAAATATTTTTTTTTTCTGTTAACCTGAAGATCCTTGATCTGAACCTTGCTGAAGAATGGAACAGTTATCCAGTATTCTCAGGCTTTCAGTCATCCTAAAAGTTCTGCCCCGTAATAGGTTGAAACATTTATCAGTTTTGAACAAATACCCTCAAGATAACTACAAAATCAATAATCCAATGAGAGTTTATAAGACAAAAAACAACCCATTACTACTGTCTTACCTGTGAATCTTTTCGGAGATCTTATGTATTTACGTATTCCAGGCTTATTTCTTAAAACATGACGAAATGTTTTCTCCTTTGATGAGTTGAATAACCCACAACGTTTTCTATTCATCTCATTATTATTGTTGTTCATACTACTTGAATCAAGTAGCTTGTTAGTAGTATTGTTGTTATTGATTGAAAAATTGAAACCTTGACAACTGGGCAACTCACTTGAACATGGAATATGTTCATTGCTCAATATAGAATGCATTAAATAATTGCTGCTATCATCAACATCATTATTATTAGTAGTAGTATTAGTAGTAGTATTGTTATTGTTCATAGAAATATTTTGAGGATTTAGCAAAGGTGAAAATTCACCAAATGTCGGTATTGAATTCAATGTCAACGGATTTATACTTGATAACTTTTGTGGAAATGGATAAGCGATTGAGGCGCAGGAATTCAGATGGGCGAAATTTATTAAAGGATTAATTATCTGACTATTAATATTATTGTTACTATTATTAGTATTATTATTATTACTTTTTAAATCGATATTTAATAAATTTATTGGATAATCGTTGTGATTACTCGCCTCTAGTTTACATTCACAATTGAATTTTGTAGAGGAAGACGACACAGCTGACGAGGATGATGATGATAATGTTGACAGTGGTGGAATCGGTGAAGATTCTGATGTCGTCGACACTCGTGACGATGATGAGGAGGAGGAGGATAGCACTGAGGATGGTGTCGACAGTCGAGTGGATGTCTCATCCGATGAATAATACGAATCTTTGGGAATTTTTACACGAAGGTCTTCAGCTTGTTCTTCTTCTTCTGGTTCTTCTCCTCCACAACCTCCTTCTGCTCCTCGACCTACTCCTTCTTGATGATGACATTCATTGTCCAGCATAGCTTTGTTTAAATAATCACGATAGATTTGTATAGTTGTCAAATAATTCAATAAAAATTGTATATAAGATTTATCATTTAAACAAGTGAATGGTGATTGAACAGCTTGGAGAATATTTAAAAAACTGTACATATTCTCTGAATTCGATTGATTCATTTGCATAAAATTCATGGAGGAAAGTGATTGACACAAAGAATTGAACACTAAACAAAATGAAAAGAGAAAGAAAAAAAAGGAGGAGAAATGTGAAATCAGTTAAATGTGAATGTCAGTTCCGATAATCGTCAGTCTTCGGTTTTCCGGCTGCCTTTGATTCAACATCTGGACACAGATGGCACTGAAATAGAAAGAGACCAAGTCGGAAATTAAATATCTTGGCGTCATTCTATCTGCTGATCTTTCCTTCCTGGTCGTCTCATATCTTGATGATTTCTAACAAAATATTCCGTCTTACCTTCTATATCAAGAAGTTAAGACATTCTGGAATAACCCAACCCAACCCGTACTCTTACGATTCGTTAACACGTGCATCTTGCTTATTATTTCCTATTGTTCCACCTTAGTTTTTCCGGGGCTACTGAAGGAGGACTCTATCTTATCACGTAGGGTGTTGAAGGTTGTCAATTGGGTAAGCCACAGGGTGCCAGCTTGTTAATATTCTGGTCGACAGGTACTTGGACTCATGTGAAAAATGGGCTAAATCCATTCTGTCTAACTCACATCAACACCCTCTTCATTCATAACTCTCCCCTTGTATCTCATCAGACAGGCAGACCAGAAGCCTATAGAGAAAACTATATGCTCAAACTACCAAGTACAAAAGCTCAACCATACCCTACTTACTTGGCTCGTGTTCTGTGCGATAAAGAAAGCATCAGGCGTGATACCTATAACCTATTAAATAGTCAGTAGAACAATTGGATTTCGTCTTTCCAACTCATATCATTTACAAGTACAACTTTTTCTTTCTTTTTTCCTTTTCTCTTTTTTTGTTATGTGTTGTTTTGTTTCTCTCTTCCTTACAAACTCAATTTATAACATTCTTCTTCGTTCTCTCACACTCTGTATATCTCGACCTTTTTGTTACCACTTACGCCAGTAAATATGCTAATATCTACTTTTCTAACACCTTCGAACACTCTGTTCAATTTTGGCTTTGCTACTGATATGCCATTATGTTGTTGTCAAAACTAACTGAGATTACCCTTAATCTATGTAGAAGTTTCTTTATTGTTAATGTACAAACTGGATGCAATACTGTAGTGAAATACTGAGAATTCCATTCTGTATCACAGACAAGTACTGTTTTGGAATAAAGCAAATTATTATTGTTATTATACCTCCCTATGTTAAGTGTATGTTATTCACACGAATATCTCCTGTTTAACTCACATGTAAAGTTATGCCAACTTAAAGTTAGACCTCTTCGTCAGAGTAAACCCCAGTCTTAATCTTAACTAGCTCTGTTTTGAATTCCAGTGGGCTGGTATTTGTCTCTTTTGCTTATCCCTCATTCCCTGTTTCTGACTATCTTTCACTTTGCCATCCCTATATATTAGTCTGTATTTAACACAACATCTACAGAACTTAGTTGAATATACTATGTGTTTGGGTAAGCGGTCAATGAACAGTTTGTCCTAAATCACTCAATATGTGTGATGAATGATAGAGAAGCATGCAAACACTAATAGTACCTACCTGCCACCTAGATAGGCTTGAAATCAATTAGTCCGAACAGATATTGTTTTTTTTGTATACCAAGACATAGGCCATATTTATGGCATGAGGGCTAATGATACCACTTAATTTGTAGGGTTTGGAATAGCTACAGCTGTACTTGAACTAGAAATGTGTTATACAGAAACTTAGTGGCTAAGTCAGGCAGTGACCTGGGGTTCCAGTGAGATGAGGCAATAACTCATCGAAGAAGACATTGCGAAGTGGTCACTCTATGTCATCAACTGGCAGAAGTTAGAATTCATGGGCTGGCCACTGGGTCCCAGTGACTCGATGGTCTACGGGCTAGCTTGCCTTTTAACCAGAAGGTTCTGGGTTCGAAGTCCTACGGTGGTTTCATACTGCTGAAGAGCCCCAAACTAGGACGGAGGAAACAGCTTTCCAGTACTCCCTGTAGGTTTTCCAGTGGTTCTGTAACTGATGTCAGCTAATGATGAAATCTTCCACCCAATGAACTATGACTCTGCTGGCTTTGACACGTCGTCAGTCATATTGATGACACTGATGGACCACACTTTTATAATGTTTAACGTGTATAACTAATGATATCGAAGGCCTTAATCAGAGCGAACATAATGTGTTGTATATCTGCTAGGTATGCTAAGGTTGACATCTTGATCAACTATACATCCTTCTGGATCGTTTAGAAGATAACACAGCCCTTAGCTGCATTAATAACGTACAAATACCAGAGCATGGACAAAAATTACTCATAGCACATTCTGTTAGACTAGTGAAATACAAGTTGAAAGCTGAACATGACAAAGATAGAGTACAGAAAGCAGGACAGCAGCTCTTTTCCTCGAAATATATCCGGAGATCCATGGCATTTATTACAATGTGACAACATTCTGATTTCTGACATTAATATAAAAAAGTCAGTACTTCAATAGCAAACTTGTCTAAAGCACTCGAATAATCCATTGGAGATTTTCATTAACACTTGACCTTTTTTTAGATGGTCAACCTGTTGCCTGACAAATACGCAGAAAGAATTGGAGATGAACTAAAAATATCACACTGAAGTGATTATCAACTGACGTCAGTTACCAGTCCCTCAAGTACACAACCCGACCCGAATGGAAACGAAAAGTCTGTGAATCTGTGAATCTGAAGATCACTTGAAAGTTTGTAGGTACTTGTAATGACGCATAAATCCCTGAATCTTTATATTCCCTTGTCAGAATTCAAACAATAAATAACAGTACTATTCATATTATATCGTCTAACGGCCTTAAACTAAATCCTTCCAGATGTCAGACTGTGAATTTCAGTTTCCGATGTAAACGAAAGTTAAATGAAGCCATTGGTTCCTATGACCCTTAAAAAATTGATGACACTGATGAAATAGAAATCAAGTCTGAAATTAAGTATCTTGGATTAATTCTTTCCCTTCTGACCTATCCTGCCTGGTCTTCCCATGTCTTAGCGGTTTCTAAAAGAATATTTCGTCTGACTTTTTACATTAAGAAGTTAAGGCACACAGGCATAACTTAACCAAACCCTCCTCCTACAGTTTGTCAACTGGTGCATGTTGCCTATTCTTCTTTACTGTACACCCTTGCTTATTCTTTCGCGGATTGCTTAAAAAAGACTATGTCATACTTCGTAAAACTCTGAAGACAAACTGTCAGTAGGGCGAGCGATATCACATTGGGCCATATCGTTGACATTGTCATTGATAGGCACTTGATGTTATGCAACAAATTTACTGAAAGAATTTTGTCAGACCGTGAGCATCCACCTCACCACCAGCAGCTCCAACCTTGTGTATCCTAAGCTAAACTAAGAAGTCTTTCCAGCAGACTTTGTGCACGTACGTCTAAGTATAAAAATTCCACTATACCATATTTGGTAAGCACTTTATGCGATGAAAATAGTGTTAGGCAGGAACTAATTAACTAACCTTCTTTGCATTATTCAATAAAACCATTTCCTCCACCCTTATAACATCAAGATTTATTGTTATTGTAATTGTGAGCATAATTTAAGCTGTGTTATAACTGTTAATTCTGTATTTCCTGTATCAACAGAACATTAGATTCAATAGATTTCTAGACTGAATCTACGTAAATGTGGACAAATCCCCTGGTTACTTTTGTTTTAATTTTAATTTTATTTATGTTTTAAGTAAATCAGATGCAATATTGTGACAAATGCTGAAAATTCCAGTCTGCATTGCAAGTATTGTCCGTTTTGGAATTAAGTAGATTATTATTATCATTATTATTACGATAATATATATATATATATGAAAATTATGCAATATAAATCTTACTTGCAGCTTGTTGTATTTGTGTATATTCTGTACGCAATTGTGTTAATAACTTTTCCATTGAAATTAAATGTTCAATAAATGATTCATTGGACACTGAATGTTTATCCGGATCATTTAAATGTTTGTTAAATAATTCACATAGAATATTATTACTATTATTGTTATCATTATTACTACTATTATTAATAATATTGTTATTGTTGTTGGCGGCGGCGGTGTTGATATTGTTGAAATTATTCATTTTTTTAAACTGAAATGTTTTATTGTTATTAATAATCTTTCAAATAAACGTAGTAAATACTCAATGGTGTCAATGGTGCATATTATCTTCTACTAACTCAAGGGAAATACAATCCAGAGAGAGAATTCTTGTTTGAATTGATATATGTATATATACTTGTGCAGGCGTAGACAATTAATATATTAACATAATAATAATAATGATAGGAATAGTAATTGATAAAGTTAACTATACAGAGAAATTCTTTCCTTTGCTTGTCACAATGATGTTTAACGTTGATTATACTCGTGGAGGAATTCAGATGGAGACGATTAACGAGAAATGGTTGATGAAGTGATTAATATATATATATGTATATCTGCAAACTTATATATTTGATATATGACACACAGTTATTATTAATTCTATTTCTTGCACAGAGAAACACTCGTACACACATAAATCATCCTATGAGGTAATGTATTTTTCCAGCACGTATATATACATACATAGATATATATCCACGTATACCTTATCCGATGAGTAAGTCGTATTTGAGAAGGTTTTTATGTACCTAAATATGTACATCACCTATTTGTGTGTGTGCGTGTATGTGTGCTCAGTTGATCCAAAGAAAACGATGAGAGAGAGAGAGAGAACAACGAATCACAATTGTGCTGAACCAGTTTACTTGATGAGCTGACAGACATACATAAAATGTACACATACTATAGACACTAAGACACAGCCTCACACACACAAGTACGCAAGTACTCACGCACGCAAGCACTCACGCACACAAAAGTTTGCATTTTTCATACGGTAGCACAAAATATCTTAGCACTCACAATCATTCACACAATTACACACCCACATCACTGAAAGCATAATAATAATCGTACTCAATAGATTTATTTTTCAATATCTTCCTAAGGACACTTCTTTTTAAGAAGTTATATATAGAGTAGTTAAGACTCAAGTACATCCTCTATTTCATCAAAAACTTATTATTACTACCATTAATATTATTATTATTAGTATTAGAACACAATGTTTAACTTCTTATGATCATTTAATATGTGAGTTTTATGACACCTAGCTTCCTGATTACCACATCCTAACTAGGTATATACGCCGTTTGTGTACCTCTGTGTACATATATATATGCGTGTGTGTGTGTGTGCGTATATAAAGTGCACTTCTTTATCATCATTGAGTGTATTCACCTTGAGCACCATCTCAATTACACACACACACACAGACACTCACACACTCCAACGACTGAGTCTACCACTACTATTATTGTCACTTTTTACTACTCTTCCTACTGTTTATATATAAATGTAACTGAGATGGGTGTATGTGTGTATAACATGTAATTCACAAATAAAATAAACATAAAAATTGAATTTTAGATTTTCCCGTCGATTGATTGTACCAAAGTGTTGAGTCTCAGGTTGATATGTCTGTCGGCTTCTTGTGCAGATGCTTCAACGATATCTGGGCATTTAATTAGGATTGAACTGGTAGATGGTGACTAGCAGTGAAATTCAGGATAAAGCGCTTTTCGTCCGACTATATGGGACTCTTCAGCTGACTGGATGTACCTGCATTCGCCAATGAGTCAGTGATAATGTTCCCACCACCGAGGCTTGAACCCAGTTCCCATAGTTTCAAACACCAAAGTGTACTTTTCATCCTGGATTCCGCTGCTAGTCACCATCCACCAATTAAATAAAAATTTAAACAATAAAGGAAGAAGAAAAAACAGTAAGCAGGTTATAATATCTTGGCGTATACAAGCCAACAATTTTTATTTTTACTCCTTTACGTTCCCCCCAGGGTGACATAGAGAGAGAGAGCTTCAAGCTAGAGACTTGATGGTTTTGTAGCAGTGGTGATTATTTTTTTCCAGGATGAGGTTGACAGGGTCATGCACTCCCACTCCAACCTTCCCTCTTTACCAGTCTTAGCGAAGTAAAGGAGTGTGTCTGTGTCTGGGGATTAAATCTTGGATCACATGTGAGGCGTGGTTGGTGAACATTCTACCGGTGTGCTGCCGACGTACCACTCAAGCCAACATAATGATAATAAAGCGAAACACGTAGTTCGGTGAAGAGTCTCGTTTCGACGGCCAATTCATCTTTTTAGCTGTACAATCGCAAATACATATAAGTGAGTTATTTTGTATGTATGTGTACATTAAGTTTGTCAAACAAAGTTAAAATTGGTTATGGTTATTTTGAATAAACAGCTGAAGATTGGTAATTGGAGTTACTTAATGCCAAAATCAGTCAAGAAAATTAGGTGTTAATGAAATTAGGATAGTAACAAAGGCGATGAGTTGTTACAAACAGTTGTTAAAAAGTTACGCAATAATATGAATAGTTTGATGATTCAGTTGTACTGAGGATAAACATAGGAACAAAGTAGAGAATACGAAATTACGCAAGAGTTATAAATGAATACAAGAATAATAATCAATGAAAGAAATAGGCAAACAAACAAAACTAAGTCATCAAAAATCAACAAAGTTGTTACGATGACAGTAGAAGTGGTTGAGTAATTCTCTTTTGTAGGCAGAGCTCCAGTTTTCTATGTGAATGACCAGAGCTTCAGCGATACAAAGAAGACGAAACCGTAATCCCTTTGATAGGTTATTCTTGACTCTGTAGATTACTTTGAAGTAGGGGGCGTTTGTTGAAATGGAATTATCAGTGTTAACCAGGTGATCAATTATCGCACTCCTTATTGCACCATTATTGCCTTTTCGCAACCATGCTGGCTGGATGTTGTTCTTGAATCCTCTTGGACAGAGTGAGCCTCGAACATCCGATAAACCTCGCTGACTCCACAGCAACAGGTGAACTGATATATGCACATAGAAGTGGTCAGATGCAGAATATTGTCCTGGAGATTTCTGCAGATCAGTGGGTGACTGGAGAACACTATTCTTAGTGTTGCTGCAGAGAATGTTCTTCTCAGAGATGATGTGATCCTTCTTTTGAGAATATCGCTTGTTAAATCTCCCTTGAAATCCATGTTCATGTAGAGTTTCTTTTTAGGCGCAATTGAAGTTTCGCTTCTCCGAATTATTGGTTTTATATGTTTGTCGATGAATCTTATTGGGTATCCATTTTGGATGAAGATTTTTCTTAGAATATCTAATTCTGTTTCCATAACGTCGGAACTACAGATCCGTTGGATGCATGTGGCAATTTATTTAATTCAATTCCGCTTTTGTTGAATAGGTACCCAGCTATAGAAGCTTGTTAGTTGACCATTCCAAGTGGATCGATCTTCCTAATGATAATATTCAATAGTTGGTTTATAAGGATTAGATCTGTTTTACTGAACTTTACAAACCAACTATTGAAAAGTAATCTGCTGCCCTCTAGTGACTTGCTACAGGATGAAGTTTCTTAGAGTTCTAGTGAGAAGTCGTGACCAGTGAGGTCCATCCTATCGGGATTGGGGATGGATATCCCAACGATGACATTGGTTGGTGGTCGCACAAAATTACGAATTGGTAGAAGTTGAAATTCATGAGCTGGCCATTTAATCGGATCTCAGTGGCTGAATGATATATGTGCTCGCTTGCTTTGCAATCAGAAGAGCCTGGGCTCGAACCCCAAGGGGTGTGGGTGCGTACTGCTGGTAATCCCCAAACTGGGATAAAACATCTATCCAGTAGATGCTGCAATTGCAAGTCATATCTTTATAGATGAAAACAAAGTGAACGAAAGAAAATAAATGTGCAATAGACAGAGAGATGTAAGTTTCTTGATAGCTCAACCTTTAAACAGGCAACCATATCAATCGACTTTTAACACTGGAGTCAAAAGCACACTTGGCAAGGTTCAAGTTTATGCAACAAACCCAACAGGCGTATGATTTTTTGGACTCAATCATCGTGATACGGATAAAAAAATAAAAATAAAATAAACTGTAACAACTGTGAAAAACACTACATTGGCCAAAGTGGACGTCCCCTTCGTCTTCGTATCCACGAACATAAGCTAACCGTCAAAATACATGATATCCACTCCCTCATTTCACTACACACAGACAACTACGGACATCAATTCGACTGGGACAACGTTCAAATATTAGACAAAGGAAATAACAAGAATGCTAGAGAATTTTTAGAAGCTTGGCATTCCAGTGGATCATCAATCAATAGACACATCGAGACAGACAAAATTTATCAACCAATAAGAAAGAAACCTCACACACAAAGGGTCAAAGTTCAAGTCAAAGAAACAATCAGTTCCAACAGAAGTAACCTAGAAGGTGTGAAAACACACATAAACAACCAATCACGTCCAAGGTCACCAGGAGGAATGATTAGTAAACTCGTGGAGAAACCTAAAAGCTCACTTCAATTTGAAGTATGCGCTGAAGATGTCACCCAGTAGGGCGATGAAAGCTTCGCAAACTAACCATCCAGCTCAGAGAACAAAACCACATCAAAATAAAAAAATATATTGTGAAGTTATGATACCTAGATGTATTATGGCTTCAATAACTTGACCACGATGCTTTCACGTTACATCGATATCTGGTGTATTTCCAAGTTTCTAAGAGAAAATGAATTTCTCTACAAAATGACATTAAAATAAGAAGACGTAGTTTATTTGAAACAGGTCAAGGTCACAAGTAGTTGCTAGGGAAATGACGCAAAGGTATGGATAAGAGAAAAACAAAATCAAAGAAGGGGCTGAAAATATTGTGTAGTCAACTGATCCTTGGTTCTAAATTGGATTACCAAGGCAGCTTTGAAGTAATAACAAATAACTTTTGAACACATAAGACAGACAGGTTTAAGTCTTTTTATGACTAAGGCTTCAACGAATTTAAGTATGTGACCCAACCTGTTTGTATATATGGGCTTAAAGGCATTGTTGAAATCAACCTGCTGCCCTGTCTCTATTATGTGCTTCTCTGTATATGATGCTGGACATCTATTTCCGGAGTCAATTGTGTCCGGCGATTTTATTTGTTGTTGCAGCCACTTTGGAATGTGATAGAGAAGATTTGTAGCTCAGGTGGATAAGCTCACTTCAAATTGAAGTATGCGCTGAAGATGTCACCCAGTAGGGCGATGAAAGCTTCGCAAACTAACCATCCAGCTCAGAGAACAAAACCACATCAAAACTTTGGAATGTGTTCTGTAGCCCTAATCAGCAGAAACCGATAGATCCTCCCAATGTACATCTCTCCACAAATACATGTAAAGTGATTAACACAATGGGATGTGACACTGTCGTTCGGATAATGTGAGGATATACAGAACAACATTATCCGAACGATAATGTCACAGAACACATTCTAAAGTGGCTGCAACAACAAATAAAATCATCAGACACAATTGACTCCGGAAATAGATGTCCAGCATCATCTATAGCGAAGAAAATTATAGAGACGAGTCGTAAGGTTGATTTTGACAGTGCCTTCAAGGCCATATGTAAAACAACGTTGAGTCACATACTCAAATTCGTTGAAGCCTTAGCCATAAGAAGACTTAAACCTGTCTGTCTTCTGTGTCCGAAAGTTA